TGGTAGCCGAGCAACTTTGACTCGGTATGATTTTAACTTCTCCTTTTTTCACCCATTGATCTGGAGTGGGACCCCACTTGTTTTAAAGTTGCCATTTGCTTGACTGATTTATTTCCTTTTTTTTGCTGAGCTAGAATTCCGAAAAAACATAAAGAATCAAATTGATGCATGTAAAGTAAGGTTTGCCGCTTGATATACGATATTTCGGTCGTTGTTATTGGCTGCCGTTGAATTGCAGAAAGTGATGGCCAACCACTCCAGCATATGCGAGCCACATTGGTTGTGCTCCTGCCAGCCGACCGAAACGCTGCATTGCCACCTGAGACCTATTGTACAGTTAGAATTACCCCAGAAGGCCAAAACTTTCATACACTGGTTCATGCTGGTTCTCTAGTTTCAATTTCCAATGCTATAGATTGATCATCCGCCATGCCGCATACTTGCTCATACATGTGGGTCCGCTGCTTTGAGCCAGATTGCCCATATAATCCCTTCCTCCTAATACTAAACGCCCCCCCCCCTATTACTAAACACGGCAGGTAGTTTTTCCCGAGAGCGTCTGAGCGCAGGGTTCTTCCAATAGTGGGGGTCTGTAAAACATCTTCTCCTCTTCACATCTTCTCATCTTCACATCTTCCCATCTTCACATCCTCACATCTTCACATCTTCTCATCTTCACATCTTCACATCTTCACATCCTCTCATCTTCACATCCTCTCATCTTCACATCCTCACATCTTCACAGCTGCTCATCTTCACATCTTCACATCCTCTCACACATCTTCTCATCCTGACATCTTCTCCTCTTCGCATCTTCTCATCTTCACATCTTCACATCTTCACATTTTCTCATCTTCACATCTTCTCATCCTCACATCTTCTCCTCTCACCCTCTTGCCCTCTTGCCCTCTTGCCGTCTCCTTCTTTTCTATTTCTCTCTTGAAGACGCGGGGCAGTGCCAATGAGACGGCACGAAACGCAACCCTTTCGCACGAAATGAGGTTCGATCGCCAAAAACTGAGTTGTAACATTGCGAATTCAAGTCGTCCGGCGCAACCTTTTCGCACGAAATGAGGTTCGATCGTCAAAAACTTTGTTAAAATTGCGATCTCGAAAGTCGTCCGGCGCAACCCTTTCGCACGAAATGAGGATCGATCGTCAAAAACTGAAGTATAATTGCGATTTGAAGTTGTCCGGCGCAACCCTTTCGCACGAAATGAGGTTCGATCGCCCAAAACTGAGTTGTAACATTGCGATTTCCGGGTTCCCGTCGCAACCCTTTCGCACGAAATGAGGTTCGATCGCCAAAAACTGAGGTAAAGTTGCGATTTCCAAGTTGTCTGGCGAAGTGTGTAAAAGCTTCTGTGTGTAAAAGCTTCTTTGTGTAAAAGCGTCTGTGTGTAAAAGCGTCTGTGTGTAAAAGCGTCTGTGTGTAAAAGTGCTTGTGTGTAAAAGTGTTTGTGTGTAACAGTGTTTGTGTGTAAAAGTGTTTGTGTGTATAACAGTCCCTGAGAATCGATGTCGGCATATAGATCAAAAATAGCAATGTAGTCGAAATACGGCTACATCTACGTTAACGCTTGATTTTGGTGACATTTGTCGGAATCTGTCGGAAATCCACCGGATTTTGTCGGAAATTGATGAAAAAACACAGACATCCTTTAATTCGAAGACGCGCATGCGAGTTGATCATGGCCATATGTAGTTCAAAATCGTGACAAATCGTGACGAATCATCTTTTTGCCACTTTAAATTATGACATGTGTCGAAAATACCGTGACAAAACGTGATGAACCGTGATCTCTTCAGGATTGACCCCTCATCTTATATCAGCCCCTGTTACTCTTCGCTCGTGCTCACCGCATTTTACGGTAAAATTATGGTTCCCGCAAATGTTGCCAATTTTTGACTACGGACGTCAAATAATTCATACGGACGTCAAAAAAACAAGGTTTACCGCAAATGTCAGCAAATAGGCCCAGCATTTGATTCACAGGGAGTGTTTGTGTGTAAAAGCGTCTGTGTGTAAAAGCTTTTGTGTGTAAAAGCTTTTGTGTGTAAAAGCGTCTGTGTGTAAAAGCGTCTGTGTGTAAAAGCATTTGTGTGTAAAAGCTTCTGTGTGTAAAAGGTTCTGTGTGTAAAAGTGTTTTTGTGTAAAAGTGTTTGTGTGTAAAAGCGTCTGTGTGTAAAAGCATTTGTGTGTAAAAGGTTCTGTGTGTAAAAGTGTTTGTGTGTAAAAGTGTTTGTGTGTAACAGTGTTTGTGTGTAAAAGTGTTTGTGTGTAAAAGTGTTTGTGTGTAAAAGCGTCTGTGTGTAAAAGGTTCTGTGTGTAAAAGTGTTTGTGTGTAAAAGTGTTTGTGTGTAACAGTGTTTGTGTGTAAAAGTGTTTGTGTGTAAAAGTGTTTGTGTGTAAAAGCGTCTGTGTGTAAAAGCTTTTGTGTGTAAAAGCGTCTGTGTGTAAAAGCGTCTGTGTGTAAAAGCTTTTGCGTGTAAAAGCGTCTGTGTGTAAAAGCGTCTGTGTGTAAAAGCTTCCGTGTGCAAAAGCGTCTGTGTGTAAAAGTCTCTGTGTGTAAAAGCGTCTGTGTGTAAAAGCTTTTGTGTGTAAAAGCTTGTGTGTGTAAAAGTGTCTGTGTGTAAAAGTGCCTGTGTAAAAGCGTCTGTGTGTAAAAGCGTCTGTGTGTAAAAGCTTCTGTGTGTAAAAGCTTCTGTGTGTAAAAGCTTTTGTGTGTAAAAGTGTCTGTGTAAAAGCTTTTGTGTGTAAAAGTGTCTGTGCAAAAGCTTCTGTGTGTAAAAGCGTCTGTATGTAAAAGTGTTTGTGTGTAACAGTGTTTGTGTGTAAAAGTGTTTGTGTGTAACAGTGTTTGTGTGTCAAAGCGTCTGTGTGTAAAAGCTTTTGTGTGTAAAAGCGTTTGTGTGTAAAAGCTTCTGTGTGTAAAAGCTTCTGTGTGCAAAAGCGTCTGTGTGTAAAAGTCTCTGGTGTAAAAGTGTTTTTGTGTAAAAGCGTCTGTGTGTAAAAGCGTCTGTGTGTAAAAGCGTCTGTGTGTGTAAAAGCGTCTGTGTGTAAAAGGTTCTGTGTGTAAAAGCGTCTGTGCGTAAAAGTGTCTGTGTGTAAAAGCGTCTGCGTGTACAAGCGTCTGCGTGTACAAGCGTCTGCGTGTAAAAGCGTGTGCGTGTAAAAGCGTCTGCGTGTACAAGTTTCTGCGTGTAAAAGCTTCTGTGTGTAAAAGCTTCTGTGTGTAAAAGCTTTTGTGTGCAAAAGCGTCTGTGTTTAAAAGTGCCTGTGTGTAAAAGCGTCTGTGTGTAAAACTGTCTGTGTGTAAAAGCTTCTGTGTGTAAAAGCTTCTGTGTGTAAAAGCTTTTGTGTGTAAAAGTGTCTGTGCAAAAGCTTCTGTGCGTAAAAGCGCCTGTATGTAAAAGTGTTTGCGTGTAAAAGTGTCTGCGTGTAAAGCGTCTGCGTGTAAAGCGTCTGTGTGTAAAGGAGTCTGTGTGTAAAAGCCTATGTGTGTAAAAGCGTCTGTGTGTAAAAGCTTCCGTGTGTAAAAATGTCTGTGCGCAAAAGCTTCCCTATGTAAAAGGAAAAGTGTCTGTGTCTAAAAGCATCTGTGTGTAAAAGCGTCTCTCTGTAAAAAGTTCTGTGTGTGAAAAGCTATTTGAAAGATACGATGCAAACTAGCGTCTTGTACTTTTGCTATATTGTCTTGATACTCCTCTTCTCGTCTGCCCATAACACATCTTTAATATATATATATTGTTTTGTAATATGGTGTCTCCATACTAACAGGAGAAGACCCTGCTCCTCTGCGCTCTCGGGCCATCCGTCGTCTAGTTAGTAGTATTAGGGTTGTATTTATTATTAGGGAACCCTATTAATAAAGTTATACCCTTTATAAAAAACTATTTTTCCGATCTCAAAATCAATAAAATTTCTTTATATAACGCAGTTAAAATATTGCCAAAAATTGGATTTCGAAGCTTCCCCCCTAATATTTAAATAAAACCCTTAATAATAAAAACTATGTTTTCCGATCTCAAAATCAATTAAATTTCTTTATATACCGCGATTAAAATATTGCCGAAAATTGGATTTCGAAGCTTCCCCCTAATATTTAATTAAAACCCTGAATAAAAACTATTTTTTTTGATCTCAAAATCACTTAAATTTCTTTATATAACGCGATTAAAATATTGCCAAAAATTGGATTTCGAAGCTTCCCCCTAATACTAAAAAAAACTTAATATAAGAAATTAAAAAACCGGACGGACCCTAGTAATAAACACCCCGGGGTGAACTAGTTGTTTTTAGTATTAGGGGGGGAAACCCACAAATGGTAGGTTGATTTTTAAATTGTTTTCTTTCTAAAGGGGATCAATTAAAAATCAAAATTGCCAATCTGAAATTTTCTGAAATTGGAGATGGACGCCCGTTTTTAGTATTTGGGGGACGTTTAGTATTAGGAGGAAGGGATTAAAACACATCTCAGGTGCATTTGTGTGCCATGATAGCCACAAACCAGGAATCATGTGAATCTTTCATTAAACCGGAAGGTCGTGCTTATCAATGCTTGTTGGTGTCTTTTCCCTTGCAAAGGACAAACATATTTAAAAAAATGCATTTTTAACCATGCATCATGAACTGGATGGTTCCAATTGCCGGACTATGTGGCTATTGCAGTGAACTTGAAAAAAGTAAGTGAACCTAACCAAACGTTTTTATTTTCTGTGGTTTGGTTGATTCACTGGGGCCTGGATCAGCTAGGCATCAGGTCCTTTTCACAGTGGGTAAGGTCTCGAGCCAGCAGACACTGGGTTAATCCATTGAAAAGAACCGGGCCAACGTTCAAAGTCTAGTTGTGGTTGGGGTTCCCAATTGGCATCGCCATGGTGGTACCCTCAATCAGTTGGGATAGAACCTCTTATGCCAACCTCAACTGCAACCCCAAGTAGTATTGCAACGCTTAAATTTGATGTTCTTCTTCGGGCTTCACGGGTTTTGACCTCGCCAGGCTGTCGAGTCCTAGACCTGAGTGCTGGTACTGGTTTGGTGGGTCTCGTTGCACATCGCCGCTGGGATTGGACAGGTTGGAGGATGTTTTTTTCCTGGGGACAAGGTGGCTTTTCTTCGTAGATCATTGTGCTTTTATGTGATTTTAACCGCTAAGTTATGCTTTTATCAAAACTGAACATGCTCAACTAACAATGGGATGTGTTCAACCCACATATTGGTAGTTCACAGCTGCGAGTCAAAATGTACAGACCGATCCATACCCTGAACCCACAGGCCGATCCATACCCCCGATCCATACGAAAACGCAGGTGATCCAGACCCATCCATACGTCAGGATCAGCCCGGGCCGATCCGTACCTGAATTTTGACGCAACCCCAGTTCACCATCAAAATATGGGCAACACAATTCTGAACTACATAGTTTCACATTTCAATCTCTTGACATAGAAAGGGGGAACGTAGTGCCCAGCTTAGACTGTCATATTGTCCGCGGGGCATCCAAGATTGTAACCCACTGAGCCGAGGCCTTGGTGCTCAGAGCGTCCCGTGGCCGGGGTTGTCTGCTGAGATGTTTAGATGTGGTTCCCACAAAGCCCTGGATATTTTAAGGGGATATGATTGGGATATAATTGATATAATTGGGATATATTGGTTGAATGGCTTGGGGTTGCTGAGGTGGTGGTTTGTTATGTCCCCATGGGTAATTCCGCCATGCGGGGGGCATCAGGAAGGTTTGTTTTGTTTTTTTTTGGAGGCCCCTTAAAGCACATCCAAGACGACGAACCCATTGCGACGTCGCCCTAGAATACCCACCGTCCCTTGCTACAAGCATTTTCTTAGGTCTAGTACCCTTCAGTCACCAATATGGCAATTGGAAACCGCATAAAAATCTAAGTTTCTAGCGGGGAAAATCATCAAACTAATTGGTTGGAATTTTCCGCCTGCACCATGTTTGATGACACAGAAAGGGTAGGTGAAAGTTAATTGTGAAACACAGTCATGTTGTCTTCTCGGCCGATGATGCCCACATGCTTGGTGGAAAAGAACTATTTTCCACGTTTCGTCGGTAAGCACGGCTAGGGAATCAACACTCCAACATCTCCCCATGCATTTAAGAATTCACCACAGCCTGAAGAGTTCTGTCACTTCAGTGCGCCATTGTGCAATAGTTGGAGGCTGAACATTTGACATGTTGATTATAAGCATGAAAGCATCATCTAGATAAGCTTACAACATCTTACAACTTGTTTGTGGTTCTTGTGGTTGTTTGTTGAACTGGTTGATCATGTTTTGTTAAAAGTTTCAGGTTCCAATAGGTTTCAAACCGCCAGCCGCTGTACGGTTTGGACAGTCTGCTTCAGGTGACGCTGACAGATGTGCCTCGTGTGATGCCCCTGTTGGCAAGGCACAGCTAGGGCTTGACCCAGCCAACCTCGCCATGAATGGGACATGGTTGTTTATATCCCTGCTGAGTTTTGGCCTCCGGTTTGTATCGTGTATACCAGGATTGCTGGGGTCAAAGTGAGGACTCTGCAATGACTTGTTCGATCTTGTTCGTGGATCCATCCTGCCTGGTATTCCCAGCTTACATGCTTCGGATCGGTTGAAACCACCCTACAGTGCCTCCGATCCAGGGGTGAGGCTCGTGCCGTCTCTTGCCACTTGCGCACGGATATGGCAACGTCATGCAAGATCCATCAGGGGCTAAGTTTTCTGGACTTGTTGGATGGCCGCTGGTCAGCCTATGAAAATTCCACCGCGTTTCCTTGCCATATGCAAACCCAGTATATAAATATTGAGATCATCCCACGGTTTTTAGTGAACAGCACAGATTTTCAGACGAACCCACCATTTGTTTCCATCTGTTGGGCGATCAATTCCTCAGTTTCCTGTCGATCCGATCATGTCACAGGAATGCTGCCTTGGCTTCCGTTCCCGATGTTGCCAAGGTTCAGCCGCTAAATGAAACATATACTTCCTTGCGATGTGAAAAAATCGTCAAAGTGACACCCCCAATTTAGATCCACTCGCGATTTCGTCATGTTTGGGTTTCGCAGGTGCGGTGCTTGACACATTGATGGAGTAGACCCCGGTCCGAACATGGGGGATCAACAACTTTACTGAACCTTTGTGGTTTTAGGTTTCCAGGATGTTTTCGGTGGGAAATCGATAGCAATCATTGTGTCCCAACTGCTACGGGGGGATGTTGGCTATGACACCCACAACAATAGGAATTTGGGGATTGGTTCAAACCTCTGGGCCCAATATAGTTATTTGTGATGAACGTCCATCCAAATTTCCAACTATGTTGGCAGGTGAATGGTGTGGCACCTGTCGTGCCGCCCATGCCAAACGTCCAGGTTGGTTCGTGATGAGCTAGCTCTTGCTCACTTGTAGCTGCTTGTATTTTCTTTGCTGCGATGAATGGATATGTTTTGTGCTTTCATGTGTATCTTGCGCTTTATTCTTGGAGAATAGGTCATAAGTGCTCCGTGATCCCCCATTGATCGCTGCTTCATACCTACACTCCAATTTTAAACCAGTCAAATCAACCCGTCCCTGGAGGTGCTGATGGCTTGGACCAATTTCCACTTGGTAAATTCACCAAAACAGGGAAATTATATGGATAAAATCTGCCAAATCATCTAATCATTTCCGCTGTGCCAAAAGTGGAGGTGCGAAGCCTCTTTTGGGGCGAAGCGGAGGCCAAGAAATTTCTGGAACAGCATGGTGTGCGGGCCCAGACGCTGCTGGTGGCATCAACATGAGGTAAGCAACAAACAGGCGTGTTTGTGTACTAGCAAACAAGTTTCAGGAGGCATTTTAACAGTTGTATAATCTATATAATTGTTGATTGCAGATGAAATTTGTCAACTGTCAGACACGAGGAAACCTAAATTTCCATGCCACAAGCAGCCCCCTGAGTGCCGTCACATGTCATGACACCGTGGCAGGACCCTTCGACCTTATTCTTTGCTGTGAAGTGGTCTACCAACTTCCACAGCAGGCAGTGTCGCTGATCAAAGGTAAACCGTACAGTCAACTGGGTAAACCTTGGATGGATAGTTAGGTAATTTGTGCCATACATTGGGCTACATGATGATATTTGCATTTCAGTAATCAGCTAAAATGATGTGTAGAGTATCTAAGATTCGCCACGTCAACTTTCAGGGAAACGCGTGTGATTTTTTGATTCCCTTTGCTTGGATCTCTATGGCTTCAGAAATTGCTTACAGTTTCTATGTGTGCTTAGGAAGATGGAACGGTTTGAATACACATGTTGGTGGTCTCCTCCCAAAGTATTGTTGCTTTTGCCGCTCCGCTCGAAATTTTGGACGACCAACAATGGTTATTCGTTATAGCGGGTAGTTATAACGCTATACGGCTATATGTTTGTTGGCCAGGACCATTTTGAGCCACTCATTGATAGCTGCTAGGTCTGGGAGGCCTTGCAGCAGACCTTGCGTCAGTTGCTGGTGCCGGGCGGCCGTGTCGTAGGGGACGCAGACAACCATAGGGCTGGGTGTGATTTTGCCATTAGCAAAGCATGAGTTTGCAGTAGAAAAAGTTAGGTTATACCATAAAAAGATCCAAGATCGGGATTTCAACATCAAAACTGTAGATGCCATTGGTCTTGCAATCAAACATGCGCATCCGACAAGCAACAACGGTTGCGGAGGAAACCATCAAAGTATGGATGTTTCCCGCCCAGCTGCCACATCTGTGTGAAACCTTAGGTCTTTGCCTATCAGCACCGAGATGGTGCTGAGGCCGTTGGGGGAAGGTCTGACCTCATAGTGTCTTCGAAGGCAAGCCATTGATAAGCTGCGCAGAGTGTTAGCAATGGAAGATCTGGTGGGCTATGAACTGCATCACAATTCCCGCATTCAATTTGTCCCATTGTAAAGAGTACAAGAGCCATCCTTCACAGCCAAATCCCAAGCATCCCACAAATCAGGGTACAACAAAGCACCACTAAAAAGGTTCCGAGAATTCAATTCCTACTCAAATATTCGGGTGTTTTGTACTTCTTGCTAAGAGTCAACCTCAAGATACGTAAAGCAACCCCAAAAGTATATTGAACCTTTTCTGCATTGTTGTGGTTGTTCCTATACCGTATGCCTATGTAGTGCAGCACCCATCACCGCAGCTAGCGGCTGCAAAAAAAATCCGCAGGTCACAGACGCGGTGTTCTTCCAGACCTTGGAACAGGCGGCGAATTTGCGCTTCGATCAGGAGGCCTGCGGTTCGTTGCAGTCACTCGGTGGTTTCCATAGTTAACAATTATGGTGTAATAATGACATGAAATATGCTTCGAATGCTTAAGATCATTAGTTAATAGTGGCTAATATTATAATGGGTGAAGAACTAATGCAATACCCTTATTTTGAAATACTGGATTGATAATGGGTTAAGGATGCTTGATGGGATATTTGATGAAATATCCTTTGATGTTTTCAAGCATTGGTGGGAAATCCCCGAACGAAATGGTGGATTTTCCAGCTAGACATGTTTGATGACACCGGAGGTCAGGACCAGAAAGGATCATCCGTGTAGCTGGCAATTAATATTCGCCTGGATTTATGAATACCCTCTGGTAATTTAACATAGGGTATCTTTGTGGTGATGAATGAGACCATGTTGTTTTCCACCAGACGCAGTGGGTCAAATTAGATCCCATCCCCTTGGATCGCCCGGGATCACTGCGGCCCCGAAGGAGTCCTTGAGCAACTGGGACCACCTTTGGGATGACGCGGATTTGCGGAAAGTCAGGAGGGAGCTGTGCGGCATTTGAGGCACCAGCCATGGATTGATCAGAAAAAGGATGGTTTCGGTGATGGTTTCGGCTAGTCAAAATAAGAAAGGTGATGAAATTAATATGTATAATTATCATCAAGACAGGCAGGCTATTCATGGAGACTGATTTTTGGTAAGTTGATAATTTGGGGGGTTCCTAAAATGGAGGCACCCACAAATCATCAATTTTCAATACGATTTTCTAGTATATATTATAAACCATCCATTTTGGGGGCACCCCTATTTCAGGAAACTTCATTTGTTTGTAGACTTATATATATATATTTTTTTTTGTTTAAATAGTTTTGTATAAATTTGTATTATATACTTGTGTTTAAGTTGTATTTATTTTTGTTGCATATATGCAGTAAGCATATGTAAGGAGGCTTACAATACGGGTAAGTCTGATGTGATTTGAGAGTTGTGTTTTCTTTGATTTCGCCCAGTCCCTTCTAGGCCCATCGTCGCAGGACCTACGTTGCGAGGAACAACTGCAATCTGTAGCGCAAAAAGAATTCAGTGTCTGACAGCATGGTGCATCTTGGATACGTATTTCAGCTAGCAACTGATGCACTGCAAGTGTTTCCAAATTGTGGTTAGAACCTTTCCCAGTGACACAAAAGTTTTTGGTTGCAGTTGCCAGCTGGGACGAAACCCCAAGTGCAATCCATGTTTAGTTGCATGTGTGAACATTCGGTTCATGGCTTGATCCGTAACCATAAATGTCATAAATGGGATTTAAATGGGACCGGAGTTAATATGCAAGCTTTAGCGCTTACCTCTTAGGTGCCAAGTATGCAAGTATCAGCCACGACTTATGGAAATTTCGCCCCCCATGACAGCCATTTGTGGTGTGTAAATGCTGATCAGCCACATTGGTAGGCTTACTCTGTTGGTATATACCCTACATGGAGAGTATGCCAAGGAAAATTCAGCTCACAAGGGGTCACTTGGTCACCATTCAACCACCGAACATGGGAGGTCATATACCCTTAAAATTGGCTACACCACCAAAATTCAATTTTTTTGAAAAATGATGATGAGCCAGTGGATCTAGGTGTACTCCATTTTTTCCCGAGAGCGTCTGAGCGCAGGGTTCTTCCAATAGTGGGGGTCTGTCTCTCATCTTCACATCTTCATATCTTCTCATCTTCACATCTTCACATTCTCACATCTTCACATCTTCTCCTCTTGCCCTCTTGCCCTCTTGCCCTCTTGCCCTCTTGCCCTCTCCTTCTTTTATATTTCTCTTCTGAAGGCGGGGGCAGGGGCAGTGCCAACGAGACGGCACGAAACGCAACCCTTTCGCACGAAACGAGGTTCGATCGCCAAAAATTGCGGTAAAATTGCGATTTCAACTTGTCCCGCGCAACCTTTTCGCACGAAACGAGGTTCGATCGCCAAAAACTGAAGTAAAATTGCGATTTCAACTCGAAAAAAACGCAACGTTTTCGCACGAAATGAGGTTCGATCATCAAACACTGAAGTAAAATTGCGATTTCAACTTGTCCGGCACAACCCTTTCGCGCGAAACGAGGTTTGATCGCCAAAAACTGAGGTAAAATTGCGATTTCAGGGTGTCCGGCGCAACCCTTTCGCACGAAATGAGGTTCGATCGTCCAAAACTGTGGTAGAAGTCCGTGTTCAAATCGTCCCGCGCAACTCTTTCGCACGAAACGAGGTTCGATCGTCAAAAACTGCTGTAAAATTGCGATTTCCGGGTTCCCGTTGCAACCCTTTCGCACGAAATGAGGGCTGATCGCCAAAAACTGAAGTAAAATTGCGATTTTTTCTGTGTGTGCAAAACTTCTGTGTGCTGTGCGTGAAAGCTTCTGTGTGTAAAAGCATCTGTGTAAAAGCGTCTGCTTCAAAGCTTCTGTGTGCTCTGTGTAAAAGTTTCTGTGTGTAAAGGTGTCTGTGTGTAAAAGCTTCTGTGTGTAAAAGCGTCTGTGTAAAAGCTTCTGTGTGTACAATCTTCTGTGTGTAAAGTGTTTGTGTAAATCCATCTGTGTAAAAGCTTCTGTGTGTACAATCTTCTGTGTGTAAAAGCCTCTGCGTGTACAAGCTTCTGTGTGTAAAATCATCTGTGTGTAAAAGCCGTCTGTGTGTAAAAGCGTCTGTGTGTAAAGCCGTCTGTGTGTAACAGTTTCTGTTGTGTATACGTGTCTTTGTGTCAAAGCGTTTGTGTGTAAAAGTGTCTGCGTGTAAAAGTGCTGCGTGTACAAGTGTCTGCGTGTAAAAGTGTCTGTGTGTAAAACCGTGTGCGTGTAAAAGCGAGTGTGTGTGTAAATACAATAGCATAACCAGAGCTGTTCGAGTGTGCTGCATCTGTCGCGGACTCAGGCTCCATGTGTTTTTCCCCAGAGCGTCTGAGCGCAGGGTTCTTCCAATAGTGGGGGTCTGTATCTCATCTTCTCATCTTCTCATCTTCACATCTTCTCATCTTCACACCTTCCAATCTTCACATCCTTCACATCTTCTCATCTTCACATCTTCTCATCTTCTCATCTTCACATCTTCTCATCTTCTCATCTTCTCATCTTCACATCTTCTCATCTTCTCATCTTCTCATCTTCTCATCTTCTCATCTTCACATCTTCTTATCTTCACATCTGCTCATCTTCACATCTTCACATCTTTACATCTTCTTCTCTTGCCCACTTGGCCTCTTGCCCTCTTACCCTCTTCTTCACATCTTCTCATCCTCACATCTTCACATCTTCATCACATCCTCACATCTTCACATCCTCACATCTTCTCATCCTCACATCTTCTCCTCTTACCCTCTTGCCCTCTTGCCGTCTCCTTCTTTTCTATTTCTCTCTTGAAGACGCGGGGCAGTGCTAACGAGACGGCACGAAACGCAACCCTTTCGCACGAAATGAGGTTCGATCGCCAAAAAAGTGAGGTAAAATTGCGATTTCAAGGTGTCCGGCGCAACCCTTTCGCACGAATGAGGTTCGATCGCCCAAAACTGAGTTGTAACATTGCGATTTCCGGGTTCCCGTCGCAACCCTTTCGCACGAAACGAGGTTCGATCGTCAAAACTGAAGTAAAAGTGCGACTTCAAGTCGTCCCGCGCAACACTTTCGCACGAAACGAGGTTCGATCGTGAAAAACTGAGGTAAAATTGCGATTTCCGGGTTCCCGTTGCAACCTTTTCGCACGAAATGAGGGTCGATCGTCCAAAACTGTGGTAGAAGTCCGTGTTCAAATCGTCCCGCGCAACTCTTTCGCACGAAACGAGGTTCGATCGTCAAAAACTGCTGTAAAATTGCGATTTCCGGGTTCCCGTTGCAACCCTTTCGCACGAAATGAGGGTCGATCGCCAAAAACTGCGGTAAAATTGTGATTTTTTCTGTGTGTACAAAACTTCTGTGTGCTGTGTGTGAAAGCTTCTGTGTGTAAAAGCATCTGTGTAAAAGCGTCTGTGTAAAAGCGTCTGCTTCAAAGCTTTTGTGTGCTCTGTGTGAAAGTTTCTGTGTGTAAAGGTGTCTGTGTGTAAAAGCTTCTGTGTGTAAAAGCGTTTGTGTAAAAAGCGTCTGTGTAAAAGCTTCTGCGTGTACAATCTTCTGTGTGTAAAAGCCTCTGTGTGTAAAAGCTTCTGTGTGTAAAATCTTCTGTGTGTAAAAGCCGTCTGTGTGTAAAAGCGTCTGTGTGTAAAGCCGTCTGTGTGTAAAAGTTTCTGTTGTGTAAAAGCTTCTGTGTGTAAAAGCTTCTGTGTGTAAAAGCGTCTGTGTGTAAAAGTGTTTCTGTGTAAAAGTGTTTGTGTGTAAAACCGTCTGTGTGTAAAAGCGTTTGTGTGTAAAAGCTTCTGTGTGTAAAAGCGTTTGCGTGTAAAAGCTTCTGTGTGTAAAAGCGTCTGTGTGTAAAAGTGTTTGTGTGTAAAAGTGTTTTTGTGTAAAAGTGTCTATGTGTAAAAGCGTCTATGTGTAAAAGCTTCTGTGTGTAAAAGCTTCTGTGTGTAAAAGCGTCTGCGTGTAAACGCTTCTGCGTGTAAAAGCTCCTGTGTGTAAAAGGGTCTGTGTTAAAAGTGTCTGTGTGTAAAAGCGTCTGTGTGTAAAAGTGTCTGTGTGTAAAAGTGTCTGTGTAAAAGCGTGTGCGTGTAAAAGCTTCTGTGTGTAAAAGCTTCTGTGGGTAAAAGCCTCTGTGTGTAAAAGCGTCTGTGTAAAAGCAACTGTGTGTAAAAGCGTCTGTGTGTAAAACTGTCTGTATGTAAAAGCGCCTGCGTGTAAAAGTCAGTGTCTGTGTGTAAAAGTGCCTTGTGTGTAAAAGCGTCTGTGTGTAAAAGTGTCTGTGTGTAAAAGCGCCTGTCTGTAAAAGCTTCTCTGTGTAAGGGGTTCTCTGTGTAAAAGCTTGCTCTGTGTAAAAGCTTCTGTGTGCAAAAGTGTTTGCAATGCAAACTTTTGTCTTGTACTTATGCTATATTGTCTTGATACTCCTCTTCTCGACTGCCCGTAACACATCTTTAATAATTATATTGTTTTGTAATATGGTGTCTCCATACTAACAAGAGAAGACCCTGCTCCTCTACGCTCTCGGGCCATCCGTCGTCTAATTTAAATCATATCGACTCAACTGGTTATACAATCAGCTTTTGGGTCCGTATGTTTTTCTTTTCAGCGTGACCTGGGATGTCGATGTTGCTGGTTGGTTTGTTATCTTAGTAATAGTATATCTTAGTGTTTTTCGTCTATATACACACTTTGTTCCATGATTTCGTACATGTTTAATCATGTTTAGTAATGGACTATACATATATATATGTGTGTGTGTTGCGGCGAATGGATTGAAATATTTTTGCACATGTAAACGCCACCTCGTGGTGTTGATCGTTTTTGGATTTTATAACGCAGCTGCGAAGGACAGTAGGGAAAGATGCTGGCAGCAGTGACCTCCAACCTTCCATGTGCAGAATACACGAGCAATTGGGTACCATAACATGCCACACATCAATCCCGCAAAGCAGGTGTCAAGTATTTGACGTGGGCTTCTTGGTCGCCCAGCTTGTCCCAGTTTCTGACAGCTTCAGGTACGAAACTACCACAGGAGTGTCTTGGTTACAATCCAGAAAACCCTTGAAGCATTTTTGTCGCGCTCACTAGGCTACTACCTGATCCGTTCGGAGATTTGGTAACAACATGCCAGGTTTTTGCACTTTACAGAGAACCGAAAACCACCATACCCCAATCTACTGGGATTCAACCCCAGTCCATTATATAACCTAAGCATAATAGATAATTGAACATGCACCAGATACTTATACAGATGATTTCTCTGAAACGTTTTTTTTTCCCAATATTGTTATGTTCATTTACCGAGGCGTACTCCCCAAAAAGTTTCCTAGTATACACCATTATCACTCACAGCCGGAGATGAACGCCTTACCCATATATGACTAATGACATCCCACTACAACCGCTATAAATTCACCATACCTTGGTGAATCCCCGGGTGCCATGCGGCGCCGGCGCCATCGTCTCCTGGTAGCGCTGGCTGCGCTAGCGCTGTGGACGAGCGTCGCGAGGACGAGCTTCTCTGCGCCGTCGCGGCGTGATGAAGATTTTGGCTGGGTCGAACTCATGAGGTATGAGTCCAATGAATGAGAACTTACTGGATCTTAATGGGATATTCATGGGATATGGGTGGATATGGGATTTTAAGAAGTTGATATCGTTGACTAGGTTGTTTGGTTTATGGTGATGAAGTCACTGTAGTGAGGTGGGCGTGCGAGCTGACATACATAACTGGGGGGCACCGCGTTGCGGACGGCGGGAAATCTCACCACACAGTATGACAATGATTCAGTGCTTGCGTAGGAACATGCAGAATTCAAAAGGGATGGGCATCCACATAAACCCCAGCTGTTTTGATGTAAAAACCATGGGTGTGGCTCGTGGCCCATATCCGATATCCATATACGGGTTGAACCAAAAAAATGTGGAGTTGAACATGAAGAAGGATGTCAGTGTTTCAATATCTCTTGCAATATTTATATACATATTTTTGCAGGCTTAAAAATAGGTATTCTGTTGTATTCTTGCAGGGTACCAAAGATTGGCTGCTGAAAAGATGAGTTCTTTTTTGTGTGTTGTGGGTATGTTGGCGTTTGATCTTGAGGGCGGGTGGAAAAAACATGTGCTGCATAACCATGGTGGTAGGCTCCATAAGTTGGCTTCTAACGCCTGTAGCTGTAACTGTGGTGAAGAATTACGGATAGTAAAACCCACATGTTATGGGTCAAAGCCAGCGAAAGAGAGGATAACTAGGTAGCAGAACGTGGCAGATACAGCTCGTAAACATGCAGATTACCGGTGACCCAGAGCAGCTGCATGTGGCTCACGTAGTGTAGCATCATACCAGGGCTCAATCACTTCAGCCAGCGGCTTGTAATATGGTGTTTACATCAACGGGAATTTCAGGATCCTAAAATGGAGGTACTGTACCATATAAGGCCATATTTTGCGGGGATATCCCCTCACATAGGCCTTATATAGGCCTTATATATATGGTAGGTACCTCCAATTTAGGTTCCTGAAATGGACATTGATTACACCGTGTCAACAAACATGGGGACCCAAGTGCTGCCATTGAGTGGGGCAGCACCCGTTACTAGTAGTATGAACCATCAAGAGCTTTGCTGTGTGCACCCGATGATATGCAAACATGGAGATGCCCACTCACATCTCGAGTCTGTTTTTTGTTCGCGATCCCCCTGCTTTTGTTCATGAACTAAGTCGTTATGTTGTTGCTTTTAAATCCTCGAAAGCTTCCATTTTTGCCGTTCAACATCCCAGGTCTTCCTATTTGAATTGCTGGGTTGCGACCTTCATTTGTCTTTCTCAGGAAATTGTCCACCACCTTCGACGAGCTCTGGACATTGCTTGCGACGCGCCAGGAAGCAGTGGTGGACGGAGTGGCATCTCGGCCGCCACAAAAAATGGAAACGATTGTTTTTCGTATTCGCCGCGTAAAGGCAAAGAAACTGGTTTGCGGATGTTGGCGGTAAATTTCTGCATCTTCCCCCCGGCAACCAAGCAACCAAGCAACCAAGCAACCAAGCAACCAAGCAACCAAGCAACCAACCAACCAACCAACCACCCAACCACCCAACTCCCGCCCGCCCACCCACCCACCCCACCCAACCACCCAACCACCCAACCAACCAACCAACCAACCAACCAACCGAGCAACCAAGTCACGGTCATTACCACATTTTTCCAGACGCCCAGTGTTTGCGAGTTACATCCTCGTTTTCGTCTGTCCATTGTTTAACTTAACATAACTTAACCCTTGATACCTTTGGACGCCAAACACCAAACAAATTGAGAGCCATTCGTAGGTATGTGTCTCAACTTTGGGCACCATCAGTCACCTCATTCATTTAAGGTATTTTCGTCAGTTTTGCCAAGTTCTGCTGGTTGCCGTTGTTTTTCATCCTCCTCCTGTTAAACATAGATAATGTATTGTTACGTGATTTGACATGCTACACGTGTGTGTATATCATGATCTGAATTTGTCAAGAAAATACAGTATCTATGTTCACAGTGGTGCCCAAACAGACAAACCATATGTATACTACTATATGTTTTAGAAAGCATTTAGTGGTTGTTTTTGGGTGATAGGCTTATATATACTAGATCACACAAATCTACGTAATATATAGTCAGATGACACCACCCGGCCGTATCAACAAAGTTTATATATATATATACTTTTTTTTATTTGTTCATTTTTTTATTTGTTTATGTATTTATTTATATATATATATATATACATAACTATATATGTATAGATATATCATGTTGTAAATTGTTATTTGGTCCCATTGTCGAGGTACCCCAAAGTCGGATCTCAAACCAGCAGCCCACACCAGCAGTTAATCATTGGGTAAAAAATTGGTTTGGGGTTCACATAATCAGCATGTTTATAAACTGGACATGGCATTGACTGACAAACCTATCATGATTGATCCTGAAGCTTGATTTTTGCACGAACCCCAGTTCATCACTCAAATTCTCTTTTCATCCCATGAAATCCTTTTGGAATCCCATTAAGCCCCATTTATATAAAGCTCTTGAAACCCATATACCCTCTGGTAAACTAACATAACTATGGAAAATCACCATGTTTAATAGGAAAATCCACTATTTCTATGATAGCTATTTTGAAATTACCAGAGGGTAAAGCTCATTAAACCCAGTAGAAAACCAATTTTTGCAGCGCGACAGTCCCACGGCTTCTTAGGACGCCTCCCTGCATCAGCTGTCGGCACCCAGTAGCCGCAGGGCCTGGCAGCAGCTGGCAGAGCTGGTCACGGCGCAGGCGACAGGGTTGCCATAGACCAATGGCAATTTGACCGTGAAAAATGCGGTAAAAATGTTTCTTTTCTAGGGTAAAACCACGATTTGAACGTGGAAAATGCTGATTTTATGGTAGAAAATGGTGGGTTTGTGAAAGGACATGGTGGGTACCATCAAGAGAACATGTGTTTTTTTTTGTGGTTTTAACACGCAGGAAGGTGAACAGCTGGTGAATGACTGATTGGGGTGGCTTGGGCTGTTCCCCCTATTGTTTTGGGTTGAAGTGGGAAGTTGAAGTGGGTGGGATGTGGTGGGCATGGGATTGTTCGTTTCCCCCACGTATATATTTTTTTTTATTTTTGAATTATTTATTCATGTGTATGTTTTTTTGAATGCATTTTTCATTATACGGAAAAATCAACTTTATCATTGTGTGCTTGCTGCTATTTCAAGATTGAACCTGAACCATGCGGTGATTTTCCGATTGTTGGTAATCTCTCCATTTGCATGGGTAAATCCATTTTTTGAACTTGTTTCGTTGGTTGCGGGTTGCATCAAATCAACACACGACCCTGAAATCCCCATTTTTGCTTGCAAAACAGTGCTGAACATGAGTTCTGCTGCTTAAACCCAGGAGAATCTCCAAGCACTAAGTATCTCCAAATCTTGTTGCTTGAATCATTGTGAAATTTTACCTGTTCATGGTTAACTCACCATGGTTCTTGCTTAACTTTCCATTTTTATTGGTTAATTTCCCATTTCTATTGATAAACCCTAACTCACGAATAGAACTAATGAATTGTATAATTAGTTTTTCTTGACTAGCAACCCATTCTCAAAGTTTAACTCCGCATTTTGGCTGCTCAAACCTCCTATTTTTTGCAACGTCCAGGAAACCCCAGAGGCGTTGGATGGTTCCAAGTATGTGAGCCTCAGGCGGCGAAACGAGCAAATTTGGGGTTGGTGTGCGTGTGTGCGTGTGTGTGTGCACATAAAAAGCAAGCACGATCATGTAGTTTGGCGTGAAGCAGCCACATTCATCAACAATCATGCAGGGATGTGAGTTATCTGATTGAGGATGGTATTTGAAGTCAAGTTTTGCAGTGGCCATTTGAAACAGACTGTCTATCAACGGCTGGCTGCAGAGGTGTCTCCTCACTGATGGTCGGTCAGATAGATGATTTTCTTTTTTTAAAACAAAGATCACGGGATTGGAGAATACAGGATGAGGATAGCTGGTTCCTTTGAAACAAGAGAAACATTCACATAGTCGGGGAATCCCCACTAGCAAGTTGTTCATAATCCATGTTTATTAACCGAGGTACGTTACGTTAATCCAATTGGGTTAACTTACCTAGATTATTGCCATATTATTGCTTACTTATCTAGGATGCACAGCTAAACCATGCCTTCTCCGCAGGTTGGATGGTTGCATGTTTGGCCGCCTCACCCGAGACCTTCGTGACATTGGCCTCATAGGGCCTGGCTACTCCGAGGTCGATGATACAATGATGGGAGGTTTTTAGCCGCATTGAAGTTGGGTCGCAACCAAGAGTACATAATTCCCTTCAAAAGCATATTTACGCAGTTGAATGTAAAATCGTTTCAACATTTATATGCCATGTAAGCTCCGAGGATGTCCTGGGTGGTGTAATACTGGCAAAATTTGCATGTTTTTTCTAGACTACAGTTTTTTGTGGAAGCAGCTTTAGATGATTCAGGTTTCTGAAACGCCCCTGTTTGTCCTTTTCCTTCCAAGGCACTTCCCTGAAGAAGGTTTTGGCAATAGGGACCATAATGTCCAACCATGCTTCAACCGCGCAAACTTTCAGTTCGCAGATGCTCCCTCAAGTTCATGCATGGATTTTTGATGAGATTCGCATGATCTCTGTTTTTAAAAGTATGTACGGTGTATATATATATATATATTTTTGAATATGTGTATGACGTATCCTGAAGTTAATGAATCAGTATCCCAGCTATGATTGGAGATCCTGAATCATTGGATTCTCCTGATTTCTTGGGGATCATCCCCAGTCACAGGAGATTGGAGAAATCATGCGGCTGTGCTGCCGCGCCATGATGGATGAATTCAAAGGCCGCCGTTCAACCCGTCCATGCCTTGGTCAGAAAGCATCTCACCAACCGTTATGTGGTAATTAAATGATCATATCGTGATTTTTTGTGGGATTTAACATGATTTAACCAATGGTTGGATTTATATCATAGGGATTTAAGCCAGACACAAAGGGTTTTTCCTTTCTAAGTGCTGTGCGCAGCATGATGGCTTGGTGGGATGAGATGATCATAGCCCACTGTGGGTGGAAGCCATCTTCTAGGACTTCTGCGCGAAATGTTTTATAAATGGGTGGTTGAAATTCTCCGGGAAAAAAACAATGAATCCCACCTTAGTTGGGGCTGCATGGTTCGCAACTGCTATCCTTCATATCCTGGAAAGGGATGGACAGGGGATGCAAACCACCTACGAACCACAGACTGCAGGGATCATTGAACCATCATCTCAGCAGGGAGGCTATGGCATAGGTTGCCATCCTGGTGAGGCAGCGTGGCCTATACGCACAGCGATGAGATGACGATCCTGATGTTTCCCCGGACCATTGGTCGTAACTTGCCCAGGACTGGCGAGGCACTGTGACGTTGGATGAGATTGGTTGTTTGATTTTTGTAGCTGCAATGCTATGTGTTTGGCACATGTGTTGCAACAAGTGAAATGTGTTCACTGTCTTTGTGCTTATGAGTGTATATGAATAGATGTATATACACAAAAGTACTGGATAGTTACAAAGATGGATGGAGATGCGCAGAAATATGTCTACACATGCACGAGTGTCTAGATACACTCCAACCATGTTGTCAGATGATCAGGAAATTGCCCAGATCCGTAGATTGTCTTGGTATGCGTTGGTGTCATGCAAACGGAAGATTGCCAAAATGGACACGAATTTGCCCGGGATGGTTTGGGAGCTTGTCTGCCTTGAAACTGGAAGTTGATATTCGGCCAGCAATGGTTCAAGTCCCCACTAGGTGAGCGTCGCCAAGTATAAAACTGCTGAGGACTCATGCAAGCGATGTCCGGCCATTCAATATCTTAAAAAGACTTAATACCATCCCTCTTCATCCTTTTTCTAACTAATCATCTACCAGTTGGGTGACAAAACATCGCCATCCAGTCATCTTATTTATGTTCAACAACTTCCCCATTTTTCCATCCTTCTGGCGCCTTCCCTTTCGTGGAGGAGTTTTGGAATGCAAATCACGTTCGTCCTTGAAAGACCTATGGTACTTTGTTTTGCCTACTTTTGGCTTAATAACTTCCTAACACAATTCTCTTCAACCAAAATTGTGTGCATCTTTCATCCCTGCTTATTCTTGCCTGTTCAAGGAACATATGCCCAAGACACCCAGACATGGCGATCTTCCCATTGGATTCCTGGCATTTTGCTGGGCTCCATCAGAGGTCTCAAAGCCACATCGGCCACTGCAGGTGGTGGACAACCCTTCGAATGGCCTCATAAAGGACGGATTCAGAAGTGGGTCAGCCTCTTGGTTTTGAAGATCAGATGCTTGCGCCTTCCGATTTTGATGTTTTTGTAAGTCTGATTTCGTGTTTCATGGCTTTATGGTTTGATTTGTGCGTTTGGTTTTTGTTCGCTTATATTATTTCTCGGGGATGTAGAAGTGTTTCCAAGATGTGGATGTGGGTCAAGACACGGACCTCCAAGCCGCCAAGGCAAGTGAGCATCCCAAAACAGACCCTTCCAACTCTGATCCCATCTGTTCATATTTTCTAAGAACCCTAATCTAAGGTCCAAGTCATATGTTTCATCCCCTATGAATGTCTAATAGCCATGGGGGAAAGGATTCCTCAACTACCTAACTCGGACGTACCTACCATATATAAGGCCTGTGAGAGGGCTATGTAAGGGAATATCCACTATCCCATTCTTAACCATTATCTTCCCATTATTATCTTCCCATTATCACTGGCCGGCGTTTAAGGTTTCCACTTTTTTCCCCTTTTTAGTTTGAAATATTTTCAAAATGTTAGCTTTACGGGGGTATTTTATATTTATGCGACTAGTAGTAGCAGTAGGTAGAAATACTAATAGTAACAGTAATAGTAGCAGCAAAGCTAGTCAGCAGTTAGTAACCCAGAGCATCCTAGATTGTTTTTTTGAATCGAGGTTGACTTGTTCAATCGAAATCAACGCAAGTATAACTTTCAATTGAAATTGTGGAATTTCAATCTACATTTTTCAATAGAAATTTCAATAACAATTATATCACAATTATTACCCCATGATTATCCTATTTTATTCTCATCCCATGTCATTCACCTTTTTGTCATCACCATTGCACCAGGCATCGGCGCCAGCCTGGTGACGGCGCTCTTCAACCGACGCCTGGAGCGCTTGGCGCAGCAGCGCGGCGTGGCGCTGCCCGAGGATGTCGTGGCGCACTTCGATTGTCGCGCTGGACTCTTCGACACGGTGCCCTTCGTTGTTGGCGGCAACAGGGGGCGCAACGGTGGAACGGTGGAGAAAAATATGGCACCAGGTTTGTTGAGATGGGATGGATAGGGATATGTTCTATAGTTTTTTTTTGGAGAAAAAGCTGGGAGACTGGGGGTTTGACATGTTTGACAAGCTAAAATGGTGAGCCCAGATGATTCAAGCACCTAACTAAACTGGACCTCATGGAGGGGGTTTAGCCGGTTTAGCCAGCACAAATGGTAGATTTGACCAACAAAAAATGAGGATTTAACCATGACAAGTTGATGGTTTATATTAGTGGATCATGACCTTTTCTTCAAGTGTTCAAATTTTGATTGGCAATACCTCAATGTTATGTAATAATATCGTGCTTCAAAGGCTACTTTACGGGTTCCAAACATGAATCTAGGCTTGGGCAACCATGCGCATGAATATCAACCTGTCACCTACATGTCTAGGGTACAGTTTCTATAGTTGGTGGTTCAGGTGAGATGCTCAGTATTTGTTGTTTTGACCACCGTAATTTCCAGGCGAAATCAATTTGTCAAAAAATGGGTATAAGTAATATCACTACGTTCTTTATTTAGACATTCATGTTGCGGATATGCCCCGTGCCCCATTATCTTGTCATACTATATAAGTTGCTCATATCCCCTTGTCTATGTATGTTAAACCCCATTAAATCTCTGTGTGTTTGTGTTCCGCGCATCTAACGCCAGGAGAAGGAGGCGTTGTCGCTGATCTTGTGGAGAGCCTATGACTGTAGTGTGAACTGCGTGCAAGATGCCTGTCACTGGGTTCATGTCACGTTTTTCTGTTTGACAATTCTGGTTTTGTGGGTTTAAAATTGCTTTCTTGTTTTAATTTATTTGTTTGAAGATATTTAGTTTGTTTACCGTTGTTTTTTTAAAAGTGTTTTAGACAGTTGTAGGTATAGTTCTTTGACGTTGTATTCGCCGTTGATCATGTCATTTTATCCATGTATGGTTTTTCATTTGTTGCCCATGTGGGCTTGTTTGGTTTGTTTCGTGTGATTTTTTGTACTGCATTGAAGGCTATAGTATAGCTGGCTCATGCTGGCTCGTGATTTCTCCAAACGAGTGTGACTGGTTGGTTGTACATTTTACATTATTTACCATGGGTGAGCCCATTCTTCTCGAAAATGCGTGGTGAATCACCTTTCCAACTGTTAGGCTATCGCAAACTTGCAAAGGATACATGTCCGGTGAGACGAGATGATTGGCAATTGGCTGACACCTTCAGGAAAGGTGGCGGCACGAACTGTTAGTTTCCTGGTGGATCATTTCTCACCAACCCAGTGCAGGCTGCATCTTTGATGATTCAGAATTGGTGGACCATGAGCCAACTATCAATCATGGTCATGGTACATCATGATCCATCAATCCGAATTGTTTTATTGAAATTTGTTCAGTATAAAAGGACTGGCGTGATTTCAGTACCTCTTCTTATATTATATATACGTGTGTTTCATGTTGATATATATATATATATATAAATGAATCTATATATATATGTGTGTGTGCGCGATATTTTATGTATAAATACGCGTGTCTATATCACTTTATGTACTTAACATCAGCTCAGATTCTGCGGGTCATCCACTGACTGCACCAGGTCATCTTCAGGGCGCTCCAGTAGAAGTGGTACGAAGCGACTTTGGGGAGTGACCTGGTGATCCTGGTGCCAGGGCCGGACGGAGCTTGCCATGACTGGTTTCATGGTTTTCCTCCCTATCCCTGGGTGAAAAGTTTAGTAAAGTTTACGGGATGGAAGTGGGGGAGAACGTATAGTTTTTTTCCCCCTTACATATGATATACCTTCTGGTTTTTTAACATACGATAACCCATTAACCCATTTATAGATGATTGTCCCACTGAAACCTTCATTTATAAGGGGTTGTCCATGGCTATGTTAGATAACCAGATGGTAAGTTAGGGAGCACTTTGATTCGAGCACCTCGATTTTGTGGATCCACGCGTTGTATGTAATTGAACATCCACATTATCCAACAAACCGGAGGGTCATGTCATGATGAGGGGAGACATAGATGTGAATTCCACAAAGTTTGCAAAAGAGATCGTTCTGCAGCCTGAACCATCGAAAACGCGTTGTTCCAAAACAGTCCTTCTTTCAGATTAGTGTTTGGGAGTAGTTTTCACAGACTGGCGACTTGTATCGCTTGTTTAAGATGTTTAAGGTCCGTCTCATTTCCTCGGTTGATCCCCTATTATATCTAGGAAATGTATGGAAATGTATGGAAATTCGGGATGCCGCCCTTTGTGCATCATTTTTTGACACTTGTACTCTTCAAACAACAGGTATAATTTTGCCAAGTACAGTACAACATGGATTATTTCTTCCAACTATATACCATTTTTTATCGGTAAACCATCTATAAATGGGCCATTTCCCATGGCTATGTTAAATAACCAGAGGGTAATGTTGTTCCAAATCCCTGGATGCCGCATTAGATCTACGGATTGTGGGCGCCGGCTGAATCCGAAATTAGGAAGCTTCGGTGGCTGAAGGATGCTGATCTGCTGCCCCTGAAACCACATCAAGCGTTGCTTGGATGATGCAATCGGGCAATGGCTGGCAAACCCAGCCATAAACTTCACGGGGGATGGTTTACATTACCCGTTTCTGGTATAATCTGGGGTGTGGTTTTTAGGTTTGCCACATTACCTTCAATTGTTGGAAACAATCTGTATACATCAGCCCCTCAGGAAATCATCGGAAATCATTGGCCCCTCAGGTCATTCGATTTTTCCCCAATTTGAAGCATTCTCATGGGCAAATTCTCCAACAAAACATGGGTTAGTAGCGGTTAGTACTAGCAAAATTGCTGGTGGTTTGACTTGGTTTCAATTCGATAAGTTCCTGCGATGATCTTATTTTCACTTGCCTCATTTTTGTCTGACTGGTGGTATGGAACATGTTTCGATATGTTGGGTAAAATAATCATCCCAACTGACTTTCATATTTTTCAGAGGGGTTGAAACCACCAACCAGTTGTTGATGGTGTGAAGCCACCAGCCTGTGGCACTGTGGCACTTGGTCAGTCGGATGTGGATGATTTATGGCCACCTATAGTTCTCGCCGATGTGTTGGGGTCCAACATACTACATTTCCCGGACGGAATTTGACATGTTTGAAGATATGTTGGGTACGCAAAGAAAGTCCTTTATGTTCTGGGAGTTCTGTGATGTTTTATTCGTTGTTTTTTTGGTGGTATTTTAAGGCCTGCTGAATGAGATGACATTGGTTTCTTCGGACGCGAGTATTTGTCCAGGCGGGACGCTCCTGAAATCAAAACAAGTAGCGCATCCTCGTTGCAGATGGCACAGATACATCTGAGAGCCTAGAATCAATTGGAAACTGATATATCACCATATCTAAATAATATATATATATATAAATAGAGATATCCAAACAGATATTATAGATACACACATTCAGAGAAAGATATAATCGCATTATATCAATGAGAAAAACTTTGAACATTTCCACTTATTGAATCATGGATATCTAAAAAACTATATCCATGTATGCGCGTGTATACCCGTATACCTGAATACATTTGTTCTCATCAAAGTGCAAGTGACTATCATAAACTTTCGTCCCCGGCATGACCACAAGACTCTTGTCCCAGAATGTGAAGGGAACACCTGCACGAAACATTTGTTTTTGGTGGTTAAAAGAATAGGGTTTCCAACCGTATATTTTTTCAACTAAACCCAACCATTGATCTACAGTGGGTTGGTTTATAAATCCAATTAACCATAGTTACAGTATATCAAACATAGATCCCATTTACCCTACTTGTAAACCAACTTTGCTATCCATGGGGCACTACCATGCCCAGGTATGGCAGCATGTTTGTGAAAGGTGTGGGGCAGTTCAAAGCCAACGTTAGTGGCACCAATCAGACCGTGCTGGTGACTCGCAAGGCCACCCGCGCATCCACACTTGCAAAAGTGAGGTTCCCAAGTTGGTTTTCAACATGGGCGATCCTCAATTCCAAAGGATTGCCTTCCCCCAAATTAACATAACCGTGAAAATCGACGTGTTGTTTGTGTAATTAATTTTGCGGGCTGTAAGTCCACTCTTTTCCGGTTGGACTTGCAAGTTTGAATTTTTGTGGGGTAGATGTATATCTCCGACGGGCAGCCTCAATTAGATAACCCCATGCCTCTTTGTTGCCCACTTGACTTCCAGTGGCTCAATTTCCCCACCCTTGGTGCCATGAATTCTGTCGGCTCAAGTTGTTTTTCGCGACGCGGTTGCATCCATCGGAACACGTTGGCAGAAGGCCCCTAGACCCCAACAATGTCTGGCTTCCCTACCAGTGTCCTGGCACTTCTAGCAAGGCGGCAAGCGATGGCAATAGGGGGAAGATGCACATCCAGGAATATTATCATGACCAACAGGCTATTGAATAGGGACATCACTTAAAAAGACCGGTGGTGGAGCGTTTGATCAAATGACATGGCAATAAGAAGGTTCCACTTCACTGATTGAAAGCATACAGATTCTGAAATTCACGACCTATCACTGGCTATCTATATAGCCGACACGAGGACATAAAATCACACATGGATGAATTTAAAAGACAAGCATTGGTTGCGAAGGCGTAATAGGTCATGAAAGGTCATGATATGTTATGACGTATGATTCTTGGCAACAAACGGATACAGTGTCATGAAGGGAATTGTATTTCTATAGGCATTTAAGATCCACAAAAAGCTTACCTTCATTAAGACGGACCATGGACACACAGACAGACCGCACATATCCATGGATTGGTGGATAGATGGACAGACGAATCGATGGATAGATGGACCATGGATAGATTAATTGGTTGATGGGTGGAAAGATGGATGGGTAGATAGATATATAATTAGATAGATAGATAGATAGATATATATTGATGGATTTGATATTTTGACAAGTCGATACATTGTAGATAATTTAATTTGATTAGGCAGTTGGCAAACGAATAGGTGATATACGCAAATTTAAACCAAATAATAAGAGGAACAAAAAAAAAACAACTACAGCAGATTACTGAATACCAGTAGTACCGCACAAGGCGGTGGCGGAAGTTTCAAAAATGAAAAACCTATAGGAGAGGTGCGTTGCTGTGGCGCAAAAATGGCAGAGCGAACCCACTGATGGATTGAAAGGTGGTTGAGTGTTTCTCCCTTTCTGTCTCTCTTTCTCTCTGTCTCTCTCTTTCGCCATCTATCTACAGAGTTACCTTTCTAGCCATCTACCTATCTACCTGTCTATTCATGTAGCTATCGTTCGATTTGTTTATTCACCTAACTATTAAACTCTCCATCTTTCTGTCTATCCAGCCATGCATCCATCCACTTACTTCTCCCTGTTAGTTTTTTTTTTTCGTCCATCTCTTCATCCATGTCCACAGGTATATCTTTCTCTCCTCTCTGTCTCTGCCCTGCTTTCCTTATTATCTGTCCATATTTGGTGAAGTGTAGTGGAGTGCAATTTAGTGTATTGGAATGTAGTGGGGTGTAGTTGTGTAGTTGTGTGGTTGTAGTTGTAGTTGTGGTCTAGTGGAGTCAGTGTAATGTAGTGAAGTATAGTGGAAGGTAGTGTAATGTAGTGTAATGTAGTGTAGTGTAGTGGAATGTAGTGTTCTGTAATGCAGTGTAGTGTAGTGTGGTGTAATTTAGTGTATGTCTGTCTGTCTGTCTGTCTATCTACCTATCCATCTATCCATCTATCCATCCATCTATCCATCTATCCATCTATCTATCTATCTAGCTATCTAGCTATCTATCTATCTAGCTTAACACGGCAATGTAGTGTAGTGTAGTGAAGGCATCTCAACATCCAAAAGTGGTCCGAGCATGGTGTGCTTTGTGCATTTTCACTTGGAAATGTGCTTCGCGCCACAACGGCGTGCAGTTTTTCGCAAACTCAACTTCCAAAAGTGGTCCGAGCATGGTGTGTATTGTACATTTTCACTTGGAAATGTGCTTCGCGCCACAACAGCGTGCACTTTTTCGAAACTCAACTTCCAAAAGTGGTCCGAGACTGTCAGTTTTTAACACTTTTGACTTCCAACGGCGTTGACTTTTTCGACAACTCAACTTCCAAAAGTGGTCCGAGCATGGTGTGTTTTGTACATTTGACTTGGAAATGTGCTTCGCGCCACAACGGCGTGCACTGTTTCGACAACTCACCTTCCAAAAGTGGTCCGAGCATGGTGTGTTTTGTACATTTTGACTTGGAAATGTGCTTCGCGCCGCGTGCACTTTTTCTAAAGTCAACTTCCAAAAGTGGTCCGAGCATGGTGTGTTTTGTACATTTGTGCTTCGCGCCACAACGGCGTGCACTTTTTCGACATCTCAACTTCCAAAAGCGGTCCGCTCCTGAGGTGTTTTGTGCATTCTGACTTGGAAATGTGCTTCGCGCCACAAGGGCGTGCAATTTTTCATCTCTCATCTGGCCAGCTGCCTCCGCACCCGCCGCTTTAGCGAGCCTACTTTTCGACCCTCCGGAGCCACAAAACCACGAAAAAACACAGTGAATCGCAACTTTCGTACCTTTTCGCGCACCTGCATCTTCTTTCTTCTGATCTTTTCTCCTCTGACTCTTCTCCCTCCTGACTGCTTTTTCATCTCTCCATATTGTCGGAAGTTTGACTTCCAAACTTCCTTCGAATACTGAATGGAAATACAGTTTGACAAATACTAGATGCCTTGTTGTTGCGGGTATTGCAGTGCAACAACACCAAACACAAAGCAAACGAAGCAACACAACTTGCATCACGTTGATTTACACACACATACACAATAATATGTATACATATATAAATATATATATATATATATATATTAATTATGGGGACAGATTTGGACATACACAGATGTGTACATTTTGATTTGTATGAATAATGATGACCTCAGCTATTTCAGGCCAGTGAATCATTGCCTTATTCAGCCACTTCTCCATACACACACACAGACACACAGACACACATACATGCATGCATACAGACAGACAGACAGATAGACATACAGACAGAGAGAGAGAGAGAGAGACAGAGAGACACAGACACGGACATAGACACAGACGCAGACGCAGACACAGACACACACAGAGACAGACAGACACACAGACACAGAGACAGACAGACACAGAAACACAGACACACAGACATACAGACATACAGACATACAGACAGACAGACAGACAGGCAGGCAGGCAGGCAGACAGACAGACAGGCAGGCAGGCAGGCAGACAGACATACATACATACATACGCATGTGTATACCTGCATCCTACAGTATATGTTCCATCATGCAGTTAAATGGGATGGGTCCCAAATATGTGATTTCATCCCCTACTAAACTATAATCTTGTTTGGGGGAAGGGATTCTTGGAGTAGATATCATCTTTGTATCCAACATCCCCACCATTTTCGGACCCCAGGTTTCGACACTGAGCTCCGCACCGCCCTGCCTGAGTCAGTACGGTGCCGCGGCGTTGCCTCTTCTGGACCAATGAAGGGTGACAAGTTGTTGGATGTGGATGAGTTTTTACCATCACAATGTATCAACAGTAGATATTGTATGATATTTTACGGGGATATCACTGGTAATTAAAAGTTATGATATATGCATATTTTCACATAGCCTTTGCTATTCTGACAGTTTGCCATGGAAAATTGCAATGGACATGCTGTGACATGCTGCTACTGTAATAGGTGAATCATGTGCATTAAATCACGATGTTTCCATGTCTATGTTTAAGTTTGAGAAGGTAGCTATGATTATAATTGGGGAACCATCCGGAGTATCCGAGTTTTATGTTTAGTTGTCATATATCGTTATAGTTATCCTTACTTGGTTCACTGGAGGTTTTCCATTTCCATGCTTGCATTGACCTCACCAAGTCGTCACTGAAATCTGCTCGTCCTGGGTGCAGCTGGGTGAATAAGATTAAATTACCCTGGGGTAAACTAACCCAGATGTGGAAACCCAATGGTTACCTTAGGAAAATGTCTACAAATGGTGGGTTTTCCACATCTCTCTCTCTCTATAAATATATAAATATACACGAAATTAAAAGCAGGGTATATGTATATATATATATGTATTTATTTATTTCTATGTATATTTATCTAAATTTGTCCATTACAGGTACCCTATAAATTGCTATTGTGTGAAGGTGGTGTACCTTGAGTGTACCAGCCGAAGGGCGCTGGAATCAGGCACTCACTGCTCTTGCAAGAGGAGATTGCCAAGATGTCAGCGGCTGGATGAAAACAGAAACCGCCAGTTATCAATGGATTATTATGGAGTGATACAGTATATCTATATTTTGCATGGGATTATAAGTTATAAACCCATGACAACTATATATCACCGATAAATCCCATAGTGAAATTGGAGTTAAAAACGCAATCGAACGGGGCACCACCTTGTTGGCGTAAGGGATCATTTACAAAGCCCCTAAATTTCACATGGAGGCCCCCGGAAACATCATATTCAATAGGAAAATATACCAAGACATGCCAAGGCGTGCCTTTTTGGGACCCCGTAGGGAAGGGGTTCCGCTACGACGCCCCTTAATTTCTAAGGTTTTTTCAACCTGTTTTGGGCCATCTGGGATATACAGCTCATCTTTGTTGTCTGAAGCCACCGAAGCGATGATTTTTGAGCTGTTTTTTTTTGGCACCCCAAAAAGGGCGCGTGTCAAACGATGTCAAACGTGTCATAGGGGGTGCCAAAACCCAACCCTTTTAGGCTAAGGGGTGTCGTTTTGGCACCCCTAAATGCGTGTCGGCAGGGTGTCGCTGCCAGGGAGTCACGCGTCATTTGCGTGTCGGAAAATCCAAAAATCAAAGTTGTTTTTTTCTCCAGCTCGCCTCCAACCATATTTCCCAAAAATGTTGGTAGTATCAACATCGTTAGCACCATATCCTGTTGTGATTTTTTGGTTCGGCTAAGGGGTGTCAGCACGCTGCTCCTTTGAATAACACACTATAGGTGTCAAAAAACCTGACCCCTTGGAAGGTTTTGGTATAGGAAAATAAAGATTTTCAGGCCTCATGGTTGGTGTTCCATTTTAAATATGGGGGGTATAGATCACAAGGTCGGAAACAACATAGAGTAATAAACATAAACATTTTGGAAAATTTACAACTCTAGAGCAAATTTACCAAATTGAAACAAGAATGTACGGACTTTTTTCCCGTCGATTTCTTTTCCTTTGATTCAAAGAGGAGAATATATATTTGAGGATTTCTAGCCAGGCCGATCTGATGCTCCACCGGGTACAGATCCATGGTGATTTGCCAATGTCTCGAGATAGGGCAGTGCTTCCCATTTCCCTTGACTTTTAGGGTTGGTCGTGTTTGTGTCAAAATCTGAGTTCTCTTGTGCTACTCTCGAACTTTTGATACATTTTGAGCACCATCTTGAACTTTGCGATGTTTTTTTGTTGGTTGGAACGGAGCTTTTTGAGCATTCGCTTCAGGTCGAACGCTCCGAGTCCAAAGAGAGCAGTCAAGGTGGATCCTTGGAGCGTTGGCAAGGCCCGTACTGGTGGAATTCATTGCGCCTCGCTGGAGCGGAACGGGATCCATGGGAGGATGCGGGTATCGGTTTGTGACGGCAGGATTGATGTTGGTGAAAGTTTCGTCATTGAAAAAATCACGCAAGAAACTTTCAGAAAAGTTCGCGTGTTTTCAACATGTGTGGTTTTTCAGATATTCCCTTATGATCCCTTATGTTTGTTCTAGTTTTCGGGTCTGGAAGATGGTGACACTGACAGGGAGTTGGTGCTTCGGAAACCCTTCTATGTTGGGCAGGTTATTTTTGATGTAACTTGGAACATGTGACCTATCAGGACCAGCTTTGCTCTTGTGCAGGAGGATGTTGACATGCTTACCCCATTGGACTACATATTTCGTGGGGCAGAGTTTCCGACAATGTCCGGCACATATCAAACATATCAAGACATATCATGCCATATCCATCATATCCATGGAGCCAGCGAATCAGTTGGGATGTTGGGGAGGGGTTGCCCTCAGGAAGAACAGCAAGAAGCTTGGCATATTCGTGCAGTGGACCTGGACGTTGGCCGCCCTGTGCACTACATGATGTTGAAATATATTGAAATGGGTTGGTGGTTTGGAACATGTTTTATTCTATATACTGGGAATAATCATCCCAACTGACTTTCATTTTTGTTCAGAGGAATTAAACCACCAACCAGAAATATATTGAATGATGATTCGTTGAAAGCCTGCTCGATGCCTCCGGTTTTGTACCTCTACACGTTCCTAGCCGGATTTATCTTCGAACTTTGAGAGTTTGTTTGCACACAGGTCAAGTTGCAGATCTTGAAGACACATTGGCACATGCCAAACTAGAGGTATTTCTATGTTAGTGTATATATATATCTGGTTGGTGGTTTCAAACATTTTATATTTTCCATAATATATGGGATAATCCTTCCCATTGACTAATATTTTTCAATATGGTTCAAACAACCAACCAGTTATACATACATACATATATATATATATAATTATATATTAATATATTCAAATGTTTTTGAACAAATGTGCGCCCATACAGATATGCCGGGCAGCTCGGCCCTAAGGACTCCATCGGGCCTTCGCCGATGAGTCGAGTGCGTCTCGCTGAGGGATTGCTGATTGTGTACAGCACCTGGGCTGTCCTTGCTGTGGTGCCGTTGTGGTGTGTGCCTGTGTGTGTGTGTCTCTGTGTGTGTGTCTCTGTGTGTGTGTCTCTGTGTGTGTGTGTGTGGTGTGGTGTGTGTGTGTGTGGAGAGATTATTTTAACCTATTTGACAATATAAACAAACGTGGCACCGTGGCATTGTTTTGCATGGGTTTACTGCAAAATGAACTGTGGTTTTGCTAGGCTCAATGTTCTGGGAACTAAAACGCTGCCCACCGTATCTCCTTTTGAGAGGGCGGAACTTGTCAACACTATCAGTCGGGGTGAAAGCAGTTGCCTTACTATAGCAATGTTGGTTTGTGGCTCAGGATCCCATGGTCCCCCCATGCGGGAAGATGACTATACAGACTTCGCGTTGTGATATCAGCCGATGTACCAGGGTGTTTGACCGTTTGATTTGGTTGATTGGTTGACACACAGCCAAAGCAGCAACTTACATGTATCGATCTATGTGTTTACACACACACACATATATATATACATATATACATATATACATATGTAATTACTGCAGATCTATCTTTCTATACTGAAGATGGCGATGAGCGGAGAGAGACAGAGACAGACAGACACAGACAGACGCAGACAGACGCAGACAGACGCAGACAGACGTAGACAGACGCAGACAGACACAGACACAGACAGACACAGACACAGACAGACACAGACACAGACAGACAGACACAGACGCAGACAGAAACAGACAGACAGAGACAGACACAGACAGACACAGACAGACACAGACAGACACAGACAGAACAGACAGACACAGACAGACACAGACAGACAGACAGACACAGACAGACACAGACAGACACAGACAGACACAGACAGACACAGACAGACACAGACAGACACAGACAGACACAGACAGACACAGACAGACGGACAGACAGACAGAAAGAGAGAGAAAGAGAGAGATATATATATATATAAATATATATATATATATAAATAATTATACACAATGATATACATATAGTTTTTGTGATCCTTTATCTGCAGTTGGTTTGATTGGTTTGACACACAGGGATGGGGTGGTCGCGGCATCAGGAAGGTTATCTCATTCACCAAGATGCCTTGGAGGGTCGGAAGATGTCGGAAGCATTTCTTGTGGAGGGGGTTCCAGGCCGGGCCTCCCTGTCAAGATCATCGCAGAGTCACCTGCACCACCGAGGAACTAGAGATGGACCAGTTGATAGATATTCGACCTGGTGCAGCTCGGAATTCAGCCCTGCGATTCGTGCCTCTTTTGCAGCCTCCTGGTCAGCTGACATCCGCAGATCGACGGATGTAGGTTCTGGTGCAAAGTAAGCTGATAGCAACACCTGACTGATTTTGCGTGTTCCGATGTTTGCCAATCCTGCGCTTGTTTCCTCCAATCTTGGACACCCCTCCTGAAATTTGCCATTGACAAAGAAGGGTTTGGGGCGAGTACTGAGAAGCGACTGAATGAGCCTGGAACTCGCGATGACTCATCAACCACAAATGAAAGGAGCACCTCCCAAGAAGAGATACCGCTAAATGTTTGGAAGGTGATTGGGAGACACGGAGGCAACTGAGGGCAAAAAACCTAGAAGATGTACGGTATATCAGCAAGATGCTAGATGCTGAACTTCCAGAGAGGGCGATGGAGAGTGTGAGAGAGAGAGAGATATAATATATATATATTTGTTTATTTATTTATTTAATCATATATATATATTCATATAACTCAAATGGTTGGTCAAAGGATGCAGCAGTTGGGAAAAAATGCCAGGTGATTTTAGGACATAGTTAACAAACATGTAAACAGTAAAATGGGATCGGCAAACAGAGAAAATGGAAGTGACGGACTTTTACTTAGAAAGGATGTTTTCCAACTTTCAAAATCGCACACTTATAACGTCCCCACACCACTAGGGACCACATTCTAATTCCTGCATTTAGAACATCAAATTGTTCATGGCAATTATTTCTGAACGTTCTTGATGCGCACTTAGAACGTATGGGAAAAAACGTTCAAACCGACTCACTTAGAACATCTCTAGCTGCAAAAAACTAAACATGTGTTTTCCAAAGGACGTTCTAAGTGTTTGCCTGTCGCTATACAGTAACAATCAAAGGAGTGAAGTGCCAGCCAATCAGATACACAATCGCCTTATGTGTGTTTTTTTGTGCCCGATGTGTTTCCTGCGGCCCCATTGGGTGCAATCATACATAAACCTTGGTTGGGTAGCCCAGACGAAAGCTTTGTGTGGTACGGAATGGTTTGTTCTTGCGGCCTTAGTATCCTCCTTGCAAGAATGCTATCAGATTGTCCACAACCCTTTGCTAAGAAGCTTAGATACACCCTTAGAAACCTTGGTTCCGTACATGTTTATACAGCGTTTATACTAACCCCCTAAAATTCTAAATTGATAGAACAGTAATTCAGCACTATTTTGAGAGGATGTCACCATTTTTTCCATGTTTTCAGGTGTTGCTTCAGGCCACCTGCATCGTCTGCAGGAGGTTCTTCGTGGAATGGAACCAGCTGCCCTGTGCAGACACCACGTGGTCCAACCGGGTCTATCGAAACATAAAGCCTTAAGTAGGCCCAGGCCTTGAGTTTGCCATGGCGCAAAATGTAACTTGACCACTCTGTTCTTGTTTGATCTTCTTTGGCTTGCGGTTAACCAGACACTGCAAAGTTGATTCCGATTCCAGCTGGATCTCATTGAAAGGGTAATTTTTTTGGATGAGTTGAAAACTTTCACCATGCTATTTATAGGTAAATCAGCTATTTCGACTGGGCCATTTTCAGTAGCAAACTGTTAGTTTACCAGAGGGTATTCGACATGATATATATATATATGATTACGTTGGTTGATTTGATGTACGCAGATCACCAAACCATGATTCTCAGTCTCTACATATGCTTTGCCCGATTGCCAGCATTGTTGCCCAAACAGAAACCGATCAATCAGATTTGTTATTCCAAACCTGGAGAACAGGAGTACCCCAAAAACCACCGGTTCATTATCACTTCTTCATTAAACCCATCATTAAAAAGGTGCCACTTTGGGAAAACAATGGGCGAAATCAATTTCGCAGCAGCAGTTACGTCCCCATAAACGTCCTTTTGTGTCCGCACTTTGTGCCATAACTTGGTGGCCTGGATCACGTGGGCTGACTTGGATGGCATGAGTGCATCGCGGGCTTCTAGACGAAATGCCGCTCTTTCCTCATTGCGTAAACTGTGCCCCATATTTCAATACCTTTGAGGCATCAAGTATGCGCAGATGAGCCTGGCGCGCGCTGTGGGTGAATGTTCCGTGGGGTAATAACAAGGTCAATTATGAATGAAACGCGTTGAGGGTCTTAATGGGCAGTTGTTTGGATACATGGCTTTGATTGTGTTTTGAAAAACTTGTTGAAAGCTGTTGTTGAACAGGATTGGTGGAAACATGTGAAACCTTGACTGTCATGGCATCATATTACTCTCAGTACTTTCAAACCAATGATATGGATGCTTGTCATTTGCAAACAGTTCTAGCGTGGGAAGCGCTCCTTGCAGTTGTAGTTTACAAACCGTTTGGGCATCAAATAGCGTCCCTGCCGACAAACAGAAAGAAATATGACCAGCTTCGCGAAATACATAAACATCCACGTGCATAAACAAATGCATTTTGAAACATGTTGCCATGAAGAACATGTGAAAGCGCACGGCTGGCACTTTTGACAGCTAACTGCAGGCAGCATTCTGCTGACTGGGCAAAGGTGGTTGGCGCCATCGAGTCACACTCTTCCGACTGCGTCCGTGACTCTTCTGTGGACGGTGTCGGTGCCGTGCAACAGTCAAAAAAGTGAAGGCGGTATGGGAATTTCCCACCGGGCAAGTCCAATTCTAGGTGATGGTTCACCTTGCCAGCCCTTTGGATCCTTTGGTAGAAGAATAATACATGAAACAGAAATTGAAGTTCATAACAGAGAATATTTGTCACTTTCCTTTTGTGCTATTCGATACCCAAATTTCAAAAGGAAGTCAGTTCTGGTCATTTTTTCCATGTGAAATTGGACACTCCCGGCCGATGTGACCTTTGCCCTTTCGACTTGCCTGCGCATCTCCCATCATCTCCCCAGAAACTGCGATTGCTGGGGAGCGGCTGCAAGTTGATCGTGGCGAGGGGCGAGCATTTTGACGGACCCTCCCTCACCTTTGACTCCCATGGACACATTGGACACCCCTCGGCGGGCAGAAAATACGCACTGTGGCTACTGTGGCTGGCTGCGGCTGGCTGCGGCAACCCTTTTTTGGCTTGACTCAGACTCCCTGAATTTTACAGACGGATGTTTCAGTGTCCAACAGGTGCTAAGTCTTTTCCCTTCACATGGATGTGATTATGTAAGTTCAAACAGCCATCCAAATGGCTATATCTTTGCATGCAAAGGATAAGAGAAACAGGCAGTAGTGATGACACCCCCTCCTGATATTGATGTAATGATTGGGCGTCTGGGATTAAATCATGCTACCGATCCGGTTGCAACTCCTTAGTGGCCAAGCACAAACACAGGTGGATTGACTTTGTCCACCCCTTCTTGGTTGATTCCCAAAAAGGTGTAGGTAGCATTTGGCTGGCGAGATTGACTTGTGAAAACAACAACTTTTACTGTAGATGTTCTCTTGAATCACCCGAGTTTCCCGGCCATCATGGGCTGTTGGACTATTTTGACGGTCAAATCGCCATGTTTGTTGGCAATTTGGGAATGGGATTACATCTTCCATCTGCGTCACAGTGAAAGTCCGTGGGCAATAGCAAAAAAACAGTGATGCATATCCATAGAGTATGCCTAAGATGAAAAAACACGTTTACGTTTGTTAAGTTGTATGTGCCATGGTCAAATCATTGCTTATATGTTTCCTCAGCCGGTCGGGGATGGTTATTTGCTCGTGTTTGTTCGGGCGTCCCAGTGAGGATGGTGACGAGGATTGTGGTTAGATATCGCATTACTGTTTCTGTTGCTATCCCATTGGTATCCCAAAAAAGTCGCTTTGAACAGGGTCTGCACCGAAAACATCATATCACGTTAATCCCATCAAAACACCATGTTGAATTAAATCACCGTCAGATTGCCATGAAACCAGCATGTCTCTTGCTGATTATATAACCCTTATTAATCCCATGAAATCACCATGAAATCAGGATAAGACCGTCCTGAAATCAGAATTCTTAATTGCTTCAATACACCCATCACCATTAACCATCATTGTCCCATAAATCCCATGATTTTCTCATGTTTGTTGCTTTAACTTCCGTCCTGAAGTCACCATGAAATCACCGTTGGACAGGTAAACATCCAGGTGAACGATGGTGCCACGGGTCCTTGCAACCTTCTATTGCTGCCACGTAGAGGTGACACCTTGGTGCCGCAGGACAAATTGGGAACTTCAGCACCACAACTGATGATTTAATTAATGGTTATGTCAAAATAGCTATTGAAAATGGTGATTTATAGTGGATTTACCCATGAAAAATGGTGATTTTCCATAGTTGTGGGACAGTTTACCAGAGGGGAACCAATTTAAACATCTAAAAATGATGGTATAAGGCAGAAACATGGTGAACCAGCACACTTCCGGTGATCAAAAAGACGAAGTCCTGAAATTCACCGGGCTTTGAACATTGGGACTTCGCTCAATTTGAGATCTCAGCTCCGTTCGTGGGGCCTTGGGATTGCTGAAAATCTTCGCCAAGAAACTTGGCGGGTTCACCCTCAAGATTCTAAGATGTGGGTGTTACCTGCAATTCTGGGTAATTTCAAGCCCAAAACGGAATTATATATCTCGGGTTTGGAAACTAGGAAAATTCTGCCCTTACTGAGGGGGCTACAAATGACTAGTTCTTCTTGGATATTGTGAGTACTATATGTTAAATCGTTTGGCTAGGTAATTATCTTGACATGATATTCACTGATGTAAGTGATGTAAGATACAGTATTGTAGATTTTGTTAGGATCTGAACGTAGATCTGAACATATTTAGTTTTGGAGATATGCATGAGCAGTTTTAACCCTCCATCTATGGTATGTTCATTTGATTTCCAGGGATTGTTGAGGAATGTTGAGGAACATGTGGCCAAGATGATGAGATTTCGGCTGTTTTTTTTTTCGGAATCCCTTTTAAGGTCAAGCAGCTGGGCTTCATATGAATGGGTTTGTCTGAATGTGGGGTATACCAGGGCATACGCATTGTATACGCACTATATACCCACTGTACACCCACAAATAGCAGCCTCTTGCAGTGAGCATGATGATTCATTCACTGGACTTCGGGGTATTGTGCCCAATTTTTAGACAACACCTTATCAACTAAACTAACTACATGCGTGTATATATATATATATGTATATAAAAATATGTATACGATGTATATTTAATATACAGTATATATAATATCAACTCCGGATTAATAAACCACTAGGTTGTTTAATTGGGGGTGCCATTTAAGTATCGGATTATCATTGTGTGGGAAACCCCTGCACCTGATTGATACGTACAAGACACGCATAGACAATGTACACGACATCTAATACGCTATTCACGTTTTTTCCAAAATATCAGTAATGTTTTTCAAAGAAAACGCATCTTCACATATTTGTGCTTAAATATAATCTTATATAGGTATTAATGATTGGAAACATCTTCTGCACCCGATGTTTTTCCAAAACGATGCCGCAGGAGGGTGACAGACGTCTGGAGCTCCGCGAGGGCAGCTACTGGCGTTACGTGGGGCCTTCCGGCACCTCCGAGGTGCGACGACGACTCGCCGATTTCGGGAGTTGGTGAATTGATGGTGGATTTCACCATGGAAAAATGAGGAATTTTCCCATGGATTTCACCAGCAGATTTCAAGCAGCAAAAACGGTGTTTGAGCTTGGGATAGAATAGGAGAATGGTGGGCTCAACCAGCTTAAACTGATGGTTTCTGTTCCTGGACATATTGAATGGAACCTATGATTCTCACGACCCAAAAAATGCGTGATGCGGCGAATCATTCCCAAAAATAGGCCGCAAATTCAGCTTTCAGCCAGATATAACTCATAAGTATTCATAAGTATGTACCCTCTGGTAATTTAACATAGCTATTGAAAATGGCCATTTATAGTGGATTTTCCCATTAAAAATGGTGATTTTCAATAGCTATGTTAAATTACCAGAGGGTAATCCATCACTTGGTGGCCCATCCCAGGAATCAGATATGTGGCCCTTGTCCAGTTCGTTCGGACATTGCCCCCACCGGTGAACCAGCGTTCGGAATCTGTGGTACCCATTGAACCGATTCCTGGGATGTACTTCCTACGGAGGTTCAACTAACAACTGGGAATACTATGTTGATTTTGAGCGATGTTCGATAGTTTTGACTGGATTTATGGGGTGAATCACCAGGCGAAGCCGGATGAGTACTTCACAGTTACAAGCCAAAACGTGCGTTTTCTGTTAGTGGATCTGAGATTGGTCATGAACTTTGGGTGTTGCTTTCATGCAAACAATGCAGATTTAACCCATCTGACTCACAACAAGCGGGACATTCAGTATGTGTCCCACCAGAAATTTGAAATGGAAACGCTATGAAACGCTGGAGGGATTCAGTGGGATCTATGAATCCCAAAGGGTTCAAAATTTTCGGTGCATGCGAATTCAAGACCTTGGTTGTATCACTAACCTGGGTCAGCTTCAGAATTGAACACCCCATCTTATAGTTGCCATATGTTGCCATCATATCCCAATCACCCTGAAATGTCGCTCTACCCGAGCAGTTTCCGGGTCCATCCCGGCGGGAACCAGACAGGAAAGCAATCGTGAGAGCGACCGGCGAGACTGTCGAGACTTGCCTTTCAGTAAGCAAAAACGAACCTCGCCGGCATCTCTGGACAAGTTTCACAACCTCATCATTGTGATGGCTTGAAAAAAAGGGGAATCCTCCCGGAAATGGTCGACATAATCTTAGTGAAAAAGAATGATGACTGGTAATTTCACTGCCACAACCACAGTAAGGATGATTATACCCCACAACCACTGGTGTTCTTGCGGAGATGCCAGCGCCAGCACGGCGCAGGGTATTGGATGATTGGGATGGTCAGTCCTTGAGCATTTTGGCGATTTTCCATGCAAAGCCCTCACAAACAAAACCAAGAACTGACAGGGTGTTGTCTGAAAATAAGACACCCTAAATTTTGATGGTTCATCATGCTAATCGCAATTTTCCCTATGAAAATTGCTGATTTGGTAGGTATACCTAATTTTCAGACACACCAATATTTTGAATGGCCAGCTTTCGGTGCTTAGGAAAGCGGGGAAGAAGATCAAGCCGCTCTGAGCGCGTCTTCTGATTAGCCGCAATTCGCCGAAGTTGCCATATTAGTACGTAATTTGTTGGTCGGTTTTTCCTGTCTTAGGGATTTGTTGGTTGATTTTCCCATGTTTCTCTGACATTTCTTCATGAACGGCCAACAACCACTGGTTTTGTGAAGCCATGTTAAAACATTTCCCTTCCCCTTCAAAGGAACCCTGACCACAAAGTTTGGTCACGCCTGGGATGATGATCTTGTGGCTGGGAAAAAGATGAAAAAGAGACCCGACCATGATATGGCTGACGTTGCCAACAAATTTTAGGGTCAGGATTGGGGTGGAATACATCCATAAACGGACTGGTTGAAAGATGCAAGATATTGAGAGCGTGTTTTTCAGCTAAAGACCCACTTGCCAAGACTTTTGCGGTTTCTGGGATGTTTTAAGCTTTGCGAATGCTGGCACTCCACTTGTCAAAGGGGAATGTTGTTTTGGGATCGGCTGAAACCAACAACCAGAAAGCCATAGAAACATCGACAAGACTAGAATAAGCGTCATGATTTGCAGGGGCGGTATGTTGGTATGTTGGTTGGCTGGCTGGCTGGTTGGTTGGTTGCTTGGTTGGTCCTGGTTCAGTGTGATCCTGCCAAGACCAATCGACCACAGCTTCACCCGGGACAGCCTTTGGCTCAGCCGCACCAGTCGAGCCCTTTGCGCAGCAGTGCCGTGGCGCCCAATGGGAAAGCCACCGTGACTGGGGAATCTAGTAGAGAAAATGTTTTGAGACCCTCAAGAAGATCCAAGTTCTGTTGTTTCAGGATCATTCCAATGAACCAGGTGCTGACTTGGACGGATGTGCGGGCTGTATGTGTTTGCGTGAAAAATATTATGTGTGTGTGTGCATTTCTGCATTGTTATTTGAATTGTTGTACCTTGTATTCCATCGATTCCATCGAATAGTTTCTTTTTTTATCGCTCTGTCTATTTATCTATCCATCCATCCATCAAAGAGTCCAATGTATTTGTTTCTCTGTAAATCTGTGCTCTTTACAATACCTACAGTACCTACAAGTTCTCACCTGATCTTGGCGGAGCTGCCACCGGTGTCCTCCTGGAATGGCAGGTGTAAACCGCCACAGAGACCACAGCATGTCGCGCCTCACCGGATTTGGTTTTCTACTGGCCGGAGACTTGGGCACCCTCCCCTGACTCGAAGATTTAGCCCATTTTGGTTGGGAGCAATAGTGCTATGATTGGTGGCTTGGCACATGTTTTATTTGTCCATATGTTGGGAATGTCATCATCCCAACTGACTTTCATATTTTTCAGAGGGGTTGAAACCACCAATCAGCATTTCCATATCCATACTTTTCCATGAGCCACCACTAATTTCCATATTGAGGTAAATTTGAACTAAACCATAAAGTATACCAAAACACCACTATACCACGAATGATTGGATTATTGGTCGGATCACTTGCAAACAATACAGTGTCGAGTGAGAGCCCGTCGAAGATGGGTAATTGTCTGCCTAAATCGGTGGTCAATTGGCACCGCTAGGCCGCCTGGTGCAACTTGGCCGCGGCTCGTGAGGAGAGAACTTAGATTGCCGGTGGGATCTGGATTTCTTGGATTTGTTTACGGCGAACCTTTATTTTCCCAATGGGAAATCCACTACTTTGAGAATCTATAGGGAATATGTTTTATATTTTTTGGGGTTCCTTAAGCAAATCCAAGTATTTGGCTGGTGGTTTCAACAATTTTGGGTGGAAGAAATCCAGCACCAGTAGGTCTATGAGGCAAATATGAAACATGGTAAACAATGAAATTGTAACGGGATAAACCATGCACCAGCTGCCCAGAGAGGTCTTCCCAGACATCTCTCATGCAACTCACCTGACCAACTGCCCCAAAGCTATACGTTGGCAAAAAATGAGTATGATACAGCAACATCCACAAAGCTTGATACAATAGTATACAATAGTTATAAACCGACAACATCCCCTGGAATCTGCGTGCATTAATAGTTATAAACCAACTTAGGCATCCAGTGGGCTCTACCCCTGTCGTTCCCGGAGCCGGAGCGGTTTCTTGCCCTGCGGTTTCAGGATGCCCGCGGAAATATCACAGTGAAAGCCTTGGAAGTGATCAGCGACGATATGGCGGTCGAGGCTCAAAACCTGCTGGTTGACACAAATACGTTCACGTTATGTTCAGAACGGGGTTGGGCTGGTCATGGTTTTGAGGAATATTTGAATACAACCACTTGTTTCATCCTTAATATGTTTCTACGTATATATCTATATATATATAATGTTTGTTTCATGATTCTGATTGTAACTTTAGCAAATGTGTGGAACATGAGGATGCGTGATAGACCAGCATGTATCATCATGATCATGTTCACCATCAAACGAAAGGAGTTCAACAACAAAAGTCAGGGAGTTGTTTGGTCCGGTCCAAAATGAGAAGAGACCAATATAGGAATATCAGCCTGTAAGGTTGGTGCAGGGCCCAACTAAAGTTGAGCTATACTATAACTAGGCTTGGCCGCTGGGACAGCTAAGTTATCGTGAGCATAGTTTGATTTGTCCATTTTGATGTGGCCGGGTAGCCATTTACATTGCTACAGAAAACCACCACGTTGAACGGTGAACGCGTAAATGATCTACTTTTACGGGCCGTTTTCTATAGCTACCTAATTAGATTACCACAATGGCTTTTAAAAAAGGACGTTTACGGCCGTATTCCCATCTCGTGCAAGTCTTTTCTGCCGTCCTTGTCGGATCTATGGGGTTCCGCATTTTCGCCAACGCTGCTGCACCTTTCCTTTTGCCAACAATGAACCACCCAGAAAAGCAAATTATTGTGAAGAGAATTCATTGCATGATAGTACCCCTTCATTTTTGTAGTCTGGGTAGCAAAAGCCACAAGAAGGATGATGCGTGTTGCAAATACACATGTGGCTGTCACAGAGAGGCCGAGATGGGAGTGGATTTTAGCAGGTGCGGAACAGGGCGGTCCGGACGTGTTATTTTTTGGGAAGGAAGGTGTATTTGATGCAATGACGCGACCTACCACTTCCTGTAGATCTTTACCTTAATGTGCAAATTTGGATGTGCTTTGCTGTGTTCTTTTGTTGGGGGGAGAGTGACTACTGCTCATTTGCTAAGGCTGGGGTTGAAGGCTACAGTATAAAGTTGAACCATGTGAGACCACGGCGAAGCTGGACGTCAGCTTTGGTTCGTAGTCAGTAGTTGGTACATGGGACTTTTGAGGTCATTATTTGATGCCATGTTTGTTGGATATTATTCCCCCTGTATGGCAAGGACATACATGTCAAAACTACTACATGACGCACCTGCGGAAAGAATCATAGAAGATCAAAGAAGTGCTTTGCACGTTTTGTTTGCCACAGTTTTTTCGGGCGATTCCCAGGATGGTGAGTTTCACTGTAAAGTCGAAGCATGATGTGTATGTGGATAGTCCAGCTACGATGACCAGCAAAGTGGCCAAGTGCTTCGCTTCGGCGACCTATCCCCGGCCATGAAGGTGGTTGCAGGAACTTTGACCCTGACATATTATGGCCATTTTGTGGATGTATTTTATAACTATTGAACTATTTATGACATACCATCTGGTTATTTAACATAGCCATGGAAAACCACCATTTTTAATAGGTAAACCATCTATAAATGGGCCATTTTCCATGGCTATGTTAAATAACCAGAGGGTATTTCAAACATGATAACTTTGGACATCGAGTCGCCAGTCCCGGCTCGGGAACAGGGTTCATATCGAATCCTTTGGATCGACTCCCAGGGCCGTCAAAGTGGGCGCATCAGGCCGGACGGGGCTGGAAAGGGCCACGAAAACCCAGGCCATTGATTGCGATGAGCCCAAATTTCTTGGTACCATTGATGTACACCATTACTAATTTGCAGTATGTAACAGTATGTATTTATTACATACCATCCAATGTTATATATTATATAACCCTGGACAGTTGATATATTTCTGCATCTACCAAACTGAAAGTTTCCTTGAACCCCGAAGACCTGAAGCTGATTCCTCGCTATGATCTATGGATTTCTGATTTGGCCACCGCATGGTCACGGAGGAGGCGAAGCCAAAAAAGTGGAAGAATTGTGTTCGGCCGAGCGCCCCAGACCGAAGTTGGGAAAGCTTCCATTGTCGGATGATTTCCCCAGCGAACGAAAGCTCCATTTAGGCTATGGGGAGTTCCCAGCCATGTGTGATTGCCGGAGCGTGTTGGAAAACTGTTCTTTTTCGGGGGGAGCACAACAATTACGCTTTGCTCGGTTTGCTTTCATTTCAAAAAGTCTCGCGCATTCCACAACATGCCAGCCCCCAGACATAATGTTTCAATCATGAGTTTACAGGGTTATATATGGTCGGGTAGGCAGCCCGGCGGCTGAATGTGTCATCCATTGTCATCCTCGGTGAGCACCACCAATTAGCTCATGATAGCTCATGTGTTCTGGTGCCTTTCTATAGTTGTTCTTGGCGTTTCCATTTACCCTCTGGTAAACGAACATAGATGTGGAGAACCCACCATTTGATACTACTATGAAAAACTTGCAGCCACAGACTGGGCCAGGTCAAAATAGTTTTTTCATGTTTTTATCATTTTGGTTATCATTGCATTCATCATGTTTTTTATCATTTATTTTATCATCTTCATTTTTTATCATTGTTTTATCATTTTTTAACCATTTTTTAAACATGTTTTTATCATTTTTTCATGTTTCATCATTTTTGCTTCCAATGGTGCAAAAATTATCAAAAAAATGAAAAATTGCAATTTTCCTGAAGTTTTTTCATGTTTTTAATCATTTTTTTATCATATTTTATCATTTTTCATCATTTTTGCTTCCAGTGGTGCAATAATTTTCAAAAAAATGGAAAATTGCAATTTTCCTCGAGTTTTTTTTCATTTTTTTTCATTTGTTTATCATTTTTTTATCATATTTTTATCATGTTTCATCAATTTTGCTTCCAGTGGTGCAAAAATTTTCCAAAAAATGGAAAATTGCAATTTTATCGGGTTTTTTTTCATATGTTTATCATTTTTTTATCATTGCTTTATCATGTTTCATCATTTTTGCTTCCAGTGGTGCAAAAATTTTCCAAAAAATGGAAAATTACAATTTTCTCGGGTTTTTTTCATGTGATTATCATGTTTTTATCATTGCTTTATCATTTTTCATCATTTTTGCTTCCAGTGGTGCAAAAAAAAACAAAAAAATGGAAAATTGCAATTTTCCTCGGGTTTTTTCATTTTTTTATCATTTTTTTCATTGTTTCATCATTTTCTTTATCATTTTTCATCATTTTTGCACCACTGGAAGCAAACATGATAAAAAAAAATGATAAAAACATGATTAAAAAAATAAAACAAATGAAAAAAATGAAAAAAAGAACTCGAGGAACATTGCAATTTTCCATTTTTCGGAAAATGTTTGCACCACTGGAAGCAAAAATGATGAAAAATGATAAAATTATGATAAAAAAAATGATAAAAAAATGAAAAAACAAATGAAACAAACTCGATGAAAATTGCAATTTTTCATTTTGTGGATTTTTTTTGCACCACTGGAAGCAAAAATGATGAAAAATGATAAAACTATGATAAAAACATGTTAATAAAAATGAAAAAACAAATGATAAAAACATGAAAAAACCTGAGGAAAATTGCAATTTTCCATTTTTCGGAAAATGTTTGCACCACTGGAAGCAAAAATGATGAAAAAAAATAAAAAATAATAAAAAAAATGAAAAAAC